GTGCCGCATCCGCCCTCGGACGGGGCCGAGCCCGCCGGTGCCGCCCGGGCCGGGAGCGCTCCAGCGCCTTCCCGAGCGGTGCTGCCGCCCGCCCCGAGGCGTGGGGAGGAAGGAAGGGGGTGTATGAGCTTCTGCTGTAGGCGAACAGACTTTGTAAGTGTGCTTTTTTTTTTTTCTTTTTTTCTTTTTCCTTAGGAGCCATCAGATTTCAGTTTTAAGTTCTGAAATAACTGCTGATGGCGATAAACAGACTCACAAGGTGGAAGTTTGTTTCTCAAGAAGTTTACTTTTTATCTGATACACTAAGATAGGCATTGGTAAATTCTTTATTTTTTATCCACTAATTAATGATCCAGCTGTTTACAGGGACAATTCACTGTGCTGGTATTTTGGTGGCAACCACTGCTACAGGCTTTCAGACTTGCTGAAATGAAAATCCTGCATACACATTTGTAAGGCATAATAAAACATAACATTAAAACCTGCATGCATGTTATGTTTAATCAAAGACAACTCTTAGGCATTTAAGTGGTGAGATATCTTACTTTAGGTTAGTTAAACTGGTAGTAAAATGATTAATATAATCTGATCTCTTTCTAATAATAATAATAATATTAATAAAACACTCATGATTCTAAATAAAAGTTGTTTGGCCTAAATCTTTGCTATCAGAAAAGAGATATAGCATATCTGGGAACTTAAATTTATGTCTTGCATTGTGATAATTCTTTATGAGAAACTGTGTTTTAAAACAAATAAAAGATATCCTTGGCAATGGATAGTCCTCAATAAAACAGAGTTTCTTGAATTTTCAGTTTTTGGTCTCAAATGATTAGTGTGTTCTCCATATAATGACTTAGAAATCAGATTGAAAACAAATGACATTTATCTCTTCTTAGGCAAAAAAGTGAAAGAAAATAGATACATTGAAATGCTCTAGCCTAGCCATTTGCTATCCTGCTATTGAAAATCGGTTTACGGGCTAGGGTGATGGAGTAAGTTGATCAGGTTCTAGTCTTAAAACTGAGCCAAAATTCTCTTAGTAATTCTTGAAGCTGTCGTGAGATTACGGGGACGTTTTCTTCGAGTCCCTTTCTTCTGATATGCATCCTTGTTTATTAATGTGATAATAGGCAGTGTCATTAAACATTTGTGCTTTACAGATGTTCAATGAGTTATGAACGATTATGGTCAAATATAGGCTGGATTTAGTTTGCGTTGTAATGAGGTCTGTCTTTCGGCCTACAAAAGCTTCAACTTATGTATATTTTTGGAAGGTGTTTTTAAAATTATCATTTAAAATTTTAGTCAAGGATAATTAAAAGATCCAAGTGTAGAGCAGTCAAGCATATTTTAAAAGAGCAACAGGTCTACTTTAGTCGAAGAATATAATGCCCACTCAGAAGTATGTCTTTTCTTTCTTCCAGATGGGAATTATACAATACTATATCGGACGAATATTTTGAGTGAAGGTGTATGGTGCAGGGAAATAATTTTTGTCCAGACAGTTTGAGTTTCATTTATTTCAGAGTTTGAAGTTGTATGCTGCTCAAGGCAAATTAGGTAGTGTTCTGTTTAAGCCGCTACACTGATGGAACTGAAGTTTGTTCCTGTTGAATGCCTAAGCTCCTACTGATCTCAATGAGAGTAAAAACAATTTTCTGATCATTAATATAGCATCTGCTAAGTTACTCTCATTTTTTGCTTTTGTCATATCTGATAAGATTCTTATCTTCAATTTCTCTCTCTCGCTCTCTCTCTCTCTTTTTTTTTTTTTTTTTTTAAGTAGAATAAGAATTCTTGTTGACCTGCTAGAGCCGTCCTGCTCCAGGCTTAGTATCTCCCGTTGCCTTCTTTTACAATCTTTGCATTTGTGTCTGTACAATACTACTCTAGGTGTAATCAGACTTAGTTACAGAAGGAAGAGAATTGAGCTTTTTTATCTGGAAAGACAATTTACTTTGCAACGCTCAGTGTCAGCTCAATGTAAAACCTAATCAAATATGTTGATTCTTTTTGAATTTTAAAATGAATGTTTTCATAAAGTTAGCATTTTTCCCTTTTGTTGTTTTTATTGTGTTTTTCTCCTTTAAAAGAGCTACAGCTAAGAAATATTTTATTCCTTTAATGGCCGTCTTTCACCAATGTGATAGAAAGACTCATTCCAAACATCCGTTAAGTGCTTCATACTCTTTAGGCATTCACTGTCATCCTGCTTAAACTTCTTCAAGTCTATTGAATGTGATTTGCATGTGTGCAGTCTGATCCTTCATTCACGCCTGTTTGAGGAAAGTGCGACTTTTGTTGTTACACCAAGGTAAAACTGGTGTGGGGGTCAAATCAGGGCCGCATAATCTGTAGGTGTTTGATATTTAACACCGTTCATAAAGTTCCATCTCTCTCCGTACATCTTTGCAGTTCTATCTGTTAAGGCCTTAAACCTGCACTGGCTAAAACAAAAAAAAAAATCTCATTGAGTTTAATGGGTGCTTTTGTCTCAAGGGCTGCTGTCAGGATAGGTGTCTTAGTTCCTCCTATAACCTTCGTTTGTAACCATGGCCAGGAAGAAAAAACAAAACAAAACA